AAATCATTTACCAAATAATGAAGATTTAGATAGAAAAAGAGTGTTGTAAATACATTGTATTTATTTATAAAATATTTTACCAGAAAAGATACATTGAGATTTCTCTCGTTTTCAAGTATGTCCTGGGTCCACAAATCATTGCATTGTTACATTAGGGTACAATAAAATACAAAAACAATATTAATACACAATAAATACAAAATTTAACATAGAACAGGTAGGAACTATATAATCAACCATGACAGGTGGATTCTGTTTTGAGGTATGTAGAGAGGGATCTCTTAAAGGACTTTAGGCTTAGGGAAGATTTTAAATTGTGCGGGAGGTCATTCAACAATTGTGGTGCTCTGTAGGAGAAGGAGGATCGGGCCGCTAACTTTTTGTATTGAGGTAGACTAAGTAAAGTGTTGGTACTGGATCGGAGGTTATAGGAAGAGGGAATAGCTGGGGAAAGCATTTTGTTCAGGTAGGGTGGGAGTTTCCCAGAAAAGCTCTTAAACACAAGGGTGGAAAGATGAAGGGTGCATCTGGATTCCAGCGACAGCCAGTTTAGTTCTTTTAGCATGTCACAATGGTCCTGTAATTACATTGTAGCACAAATCGGCAGAACGTGTTATACAATGTGTTGAGTTTATTAATGTGGGATTGCGATGCAGATGCATATACTACATCCCCATAATCAATGATTGGCATCAGCATTTGCTGTACAATCTTATCATTTACTGTAGGGCTTAGGAAGGATTTGTTTCTGTACAGGGCACCTAGTTTTGGATAAAGTTTAGATGCAAGCTTTTCTATGTGCAGGCCAAAAGATAGATTGGGGTCTAACATCATACCCAAGTATTTGAAAGAGTGGACTGCGGTCAGTGTGCCATTTGAATTTGTTTTGATTGATAGGTGGGAATTGTGTAATTTGTGTAATTTAGGTAATGTTCCAAAGATCATTGTGACAGTTTTGTCAGTGTTCAGGAAGAGTTTGTTTTCTGCGATCCAATTTTCTACCTCTGTAAACTGGTCTTGGAGCACAGCCTCAAGCTGCGGTAGATCGGATTTGCTCGCATAGATTACTGTGTCATCTGCGTACATGTGTACATTTGAGGATTTGCAGGCATTAGGCAGATCATTTATAAATAATGTAAATAGTAGGGTGCCGAGAATGGAACCTTGGGGAACACCACACGTGACTGGGAGAGGGAGGGAGTCGCTGTCAGAAATGGACACATATTGCGAGCGATCCGATACATACGATCGAAACCGGGTTAGCGAATGATCGCCAATACCTGAGTTTTTGAGTTTGTGCAGTAGAATGTCGTGGTCTACTGTGTCAAAGGCCTTTGCAAAATCAAGGAAAATAGCTCCAGTTAGGTCTCCTTGTTCCATGCCAGTTTGGATGTCATGGCAAACTTTTAAGAGGGCAGTTGTAGCGGAATGATTCTGGCGAAAGCCCTATTGATCAGGGGTCAGATAGTTTGATTGTTGGTAGTACTCACATAGTTGCGTATGGACACATTTTTCTAAGATTTTTGACCGGGAGCAACGGTATTGGGCGATAGTTAGAAACCAAAGTAGTGTCACCACCTTTATGGATAGGCACTACTCTCGCAGTCTTCCAAAGTTTGGGTATGTATCCAGACACCAAGTATTCGTTAATTAGGGTTGCTACGGGTTTAGCAATTGCCGGCGCACTGAGCTTCAACAGCATTGCTGGGATTTGATCAGGTCCGGACTGGTTTTTCATTCTTAGATTATTAAGATGTTTTTTAATGACACTAACAGGTACAGGTCTAAAAATTAACTTGTCTTTATTGGGCCTTTGCAAATTTAGTGGGACCTTATCCACATTTGTAGTTTCAGGATGTGTGTCATTTATTAGCTTGGCAATCAGGGCAGTAGAGCATCCGACAAAATAATTGTTAAAGGCATTTGCTTCATTTAAGGGAAGTTGCAGGGTTTGGTTATCCACTTTGACAGTGGAGGGTTGGGAGTGGATTGGGGGAGTTTGTAGTTTATTTATTACTTTCCAAAAGTTTCTAGGGTTTGAGATGTTATTGTTCAGATTTTCATAGAAATATTGGGCCTTGGCCAATTTTGTCTGTTTTGTGCATATATTTCGCCATTGTCTATATGCACAGTGATCATTCATAGAGCCAGTACACTTAAACTTTGACCACAAAGAATCCCAAAACTGGTACATTTGGATGAGGTCAGCTGTGATCCAGTTCATATGTGCTCCTTTTACCCTCACCTTACGCAGTAGGGCATGCAAATTCCAAACTTGTAGGAGTTCAGACTGAAAGAATTCAACAGCACAGTGTAGATCTGGGATAATGTTTAATCTGTGCCATGGGAGGTTCTTGATGTCATTTAGAAAGGATTCAAGATTAAATTTTTTTTTTTTTTTTAATTCTTTATTTTTGTTTGACATATCAGCGACAAGATAAGACAGTATGCCTCCATTACATAACATACAATCGTGACCTGACAAAGCGAGCTTGCTGGGAATACAGGCACACCAAATGGATGAGCAATAGAAAAGGCAACAGCACAAGGCCAATTGCATAGCTAAATTATAAAGCTCCCCAACGGGGGGTACATACGTCATTAATAAACCATCAAACTAACATTTTACTTTGCACAATCGTGAGCTAATAACGGCCAGGGAAGGTGTAGGGCCCCTAGAGGTAACCAGTAGTGTCTACTCTACGTCTTGCTAAAGGACACTGCGTAGGAGTATGATCGTGTGTTCTTGCGGGAGACCTTTGGAGCTGTTTAGGCCCGGCAGAACAGGGGTAAGGGGCCCGCACGGCCAAACCTAGCAGAATGCCGAGCATCACCTGCAACAAGAAGCTCTGGGCCGGCTCTTAGTGGCGTGCCCGATGCGACAGTAGCCTTGGGCCGCGAGAAACCCCGTTAGCCCCTGGTGCCCACCTATCTGGCTTCCTAAAACATGGGCAAATGTGCTAACCATAAGCATATGTAGACTATCAGTGCTTTTGGAAGCTGTATGTGTGATAAAAAGGTGAGAAGGCCCTTGTCCAGAGTGGGGGCCAGAATGAGAGAGAGAAAAAGTGGAAAAGTGTAGAAAAAGGAGGAGCAAGGGAGCCATAGAGGGGGGGTAAGGGTAGACCAGGCGTGGGAGGGGGGGCCCCAGGGGACCCACCGGGCGGGGGAGCAAGGAAGGGGGGGGCAAGGGGGAGGGGAGGTGGGAGAGACGGCAGGCAACACCGCACCCGATGCAGCGCCGATCCCCTCAGTCCGCCAAGGGGCACTCCCTCCACAGTCCCCATGTCTTCTCAAACTTCTTCCGGGTGCCTCGCACCCTGGCAGTCAGATCGTCCATGAGATAGCTGTCCTTTATTTTCCCCAGGACTAACGACAGAGGGGGGTGCTGCATCTTTAGCCAATCTTGTGCTATGGCCCGCCGGGCTGCCAGTGTAATTTTATTAAATAGTTTTAGGTCGTATTTGGGCCAGCCATCTATCGGCCTGCCTAGAAGAAATGTCCATGGGTCAAGGGCCGGGGTCCTCTGGAAGACCTGGGCCACCAAGCTTCTGATCTCCCCCCAGAGCTTTTGTATGATGGGGCACTCCCACCACATGTGGATGTAAGTTCCTCTAAGACCACAGTTCCTCCAGCATAAGTCCGTGGGCGATTTGCGCATGCGGTGCAATTGTATGGGGGTGGTGTACCATCTAAAGAGGGTCTTGTATGACTGCTCCTGTGTGGAGACACAAATGGAGGATGTGGCTGTCGCCTCCCAAACCTCCCGCCACTCCACCCCCTCCAGCACCTCACCCAGGTCCCTCTCCCAATGACCAATGTATGTCAGGTTGCCCCATTCTTTGGTTTCTGCACATATGTGCGCATACAACAGCGTGATAAGGCCTCTAGGGGATTGCTCACGTAAACAAATGTTTTCATAAAAAGAGGGGGCGGTGTGTGCTGCCCTGTGCACAAGCGGTTGCCTAGCGTAATCCGCTAACTGGAGATATCTAAAAAAGTCGGCCGGGGTTAAATGATGTTCCCGTCGCAGGGTGTCAAAGGGGACGATAGATCCGCGTACATATAACTGGTAAGCCCTCTGCAGGCCCGCCCGTTCTATGCCACGGAACTCTTGGGCCGCCAGACTGGGAGGAAAGGCCCTATTTCTGAGGAATGGCATAAGGGGAGAGGGGGAGGAAGCCAGCCGATATTTCTGGGATACCCTGTCCCAGATGTGGATGGAGTTGAGGATGGCCGGGCAGGCCGTGCGCAGCATGGGTCGAAGGTCTTTGGGCACCCAGATGAGATACTGAGGGAGATCTGATCCTGTGAGCAGGGATTCCAGCTCTACCCATTTCCTTGTGTCTATTGGGGAGTGCCACATCGCAATCTGGGCCAGCTGGGCAGCCAAGTATTAATTATGCAAGTTAGGCAGACCTAGTCCCCCCAGACGTTTCGGGCGGTATAGGATGTTTCTTGACACACGGTGCCTTTTGTTTTGCCATAAAAAATTGCCTATGGCTTTTTGGAGGTGGGCCAGATCTGCTTTGGTCAGTGGGAGGGGGAGGGCCTGGAAGAGGAAAAGAATTCTGGGGAGGACATTCATCTTAATTGAATGGATCCTCCCCAGGCAGGAGATGGGCTTATCGACCCAATTCTCCATGTCTCTAATCAGGGTGGCTATCGGGGGGGGGGTAATTGTATTCGTGCATCTTGGACGGGTCTGCAGTCAACTGGACTCCCAAATATGTGATGGAGTGTGTCTCTACCTGAATGCCGTAATCCCTTTGTATGCCTGCTATAATGTCTGGTGGCATTCCAGTAGGTAGGGCACTAGACTTGGACATGTTGGGTTTATAGCCGGAAAGCGGGCTGAAACGTACTAGGGTCTCTTGCACCGCCCTCATGGAGACAACCGGTGACGTTAGGGACAGAAGGACGTCATCGGCATATGCAGAGACCATGAATACCCTTCCCCTTACAGCTACTCCCTGTATATCCGGGTGTAAGCGCAGTGCCTGCAGGAGCGGTTCCAATACAAGGGCAAAGAGAAGAGGGGAGGGTGGGCACCCCTGTCTCGTACCGTTGGTCAATGGGAACGGCTCTGGGCGGGCCCCGGGGATAATCACCTGTGCCGTGACCCCATGATATAAGGCGCGAATGGTCTGAGTGTACTGATCCGGGAATCCCAGGTGATCAAGGAGTGTGAACATGTACGGCCATTTCACCCGATCAAAAGCTTTTTCAGCATCTAGGGATAACATGATGGTGGGGGTTTTGTTGTTGTGCTGTCGCCATATGATATCAAAGGATTTGCGGGTATTTTCAAAAAGTTGCCTCCCAGGTATAAAACCCACCTGGTCAGCGTCCACAAGCGAACCAAGAAAAGGGTTAAGTCTTTCCGCCAGAATTTTGGCGAGTAGCTTCGCATCGTGGTTAATGAGCGATATCGGTCTATAGCTCCCTGGGTGTTGGGGGTCCTTGCCCGGTTTCGGGATCAGTACAATGTTGGCTAGGGTGAAATCGCTATCCGGGAGGCCGCCTGTCCGGAGGTCGTTAAAGAGGTTCATCAGGTGTGGGGTCAGTATTTCCTTAAAAGTCTTGTAATAGCTACCGTTGAAGCCGTCGGGGCCTGGGGCTTTATTACCGTGAAGTTTTGAGATTGCTCTGTCTACTTCGTCCGTCGTAATTTCAGAGCCCAGGGCCGCTATTGCTTCCGGGGTCAGTCTGGGCAGGTCCAACTGTCGTAAGAAAGCGGAGGTTGCTTCGACCTCGCTCGCCTGTTGTGATACGGTGGAAGGGGAATGGTTATAGAGGGACCTAAAATAGTCAGTAAAAATCGAGGCTATGTCAGATGTGGCTGTCTTTACGGTCGCGTCAGGGTGTTTCAGCGATGCAATATAGTGTCGCGCTGGTCTGGGTCTCAGCATGCGGGCTAAGAGGGTATCCATTTTGTTCGCCTTCTCATAGTAGGTCCGTCTGGACCAGAGAAGGCTGCGGGCTGCGTCGTCCAGGAGAAGCTCCCGTACCGCCCGCCTAGTCGTGTTTAGCTGAACCAGCGTGGTCGCTGTGGGAGAGGTTTTGTGACATTGTTCCCTCGCGCGCAGGGCCTCCATGCGCTCCCGGAGGCGCTGCATTTTCGCTTTTTTTCTTGTGGGTGGCGAGTTTTATACATGAGCTTCTGATGACCGCCTTATGCGCGGCCCAGAGTGTGCCCTGGGTGACGTCGGGGGAGGCATTGGTGGCGAAGTAGGAAGTCAGATCTTCACTAATGGAAGCCACGTTCTGAGGATCATTAAGGAGGGAGGCGTTAAGCCTCCATGTCCAAGAGGGAGCTGTGCCGATATGCCGCAGGCAGATATGTACGTCCGCGTGGTCCGACCAAGTGATACTACCGATGCTAGTGTGTGAGACCTTAGGAACGGCAATACTATTGATCAAAAAGAAGTCTATACGGGAGTATGTGTGGTGGGGGGCCGAGAAGAAAGTGTAGTCGATTTCTCCCGGGTGCTGTGCTCTCCAGATATCTATGAGGCCCGTCGCCCTGACAAAACCGTGGAGGGCCCGGTCCTGCGCGCCTCTACCCTGCGAGCGGGGCAGTCCCGCCCTCGTGCTCCTGTCCACAGCCGGACACGGAGCCGCGTTGAAGTCACCCCCCAAGGACCTGAATGCCGTGCAGGAGGGACTGTACCTTCTCCTCCAGAGTTTTCCAGAAGTCTCCCTCTGGCGCATTCGGGGCATAGACCTTTATGAGGTGGAGGACCTGTGTGTGTAGGGTGCCGGAGAGGATGAGGTACCTGCCACTACTGTCGCCCTCTATAGCTGAGACCCTTAGGGGGCAGTCGTGCCTAAGCAAAATCGCCACGCCATTGCGCTTGTTTATAGCCCTAGCCTCATATATGGTATTGTAGATGTGGTCCCTAAGGGTAATTGTCGCGTGCCTAGGCAAGTGGGACTCCTGAATGAAAGCAATGTCAGGGTGCATGCGCTTCAGGTCGCGGAACAGCAGGCGCCTCTTTTTGGGGAAGTTAAGACCCTTGACATTCAGGGTGGTCACTTTAAGCGTCATGGTTGTGTCCCACTAGCCCCGCTAAGGTCCTCTATCGCCAGCTCAGCCGAGCTGTCAGGCGATTAATTTGGAGGACGGCAGAATTATGAGCGTCGACCGCGGCCTCCTGCTTATGCTCCAATCTCGCGGTTCTGGCCCCCAGCGCCTGGATCTCATTCTGCAGGACTGCGGTGGATTTCTGGATTTCACCGGCCAGGTAGTGCTTGAGGTCTGTTATTTGCGCCATAATTTGTGGGGCGCCTCCGTCTTGGTGCTCCAGTGTGGAGGGGCTGCGCGGCGTCGAAGGCGCGAGGCCTGCGCCGGCGCCATCTTGGGCCTGTTGAGGGGTCAATTTTGCAGCAGCGAACAGGTCAGCTACCGAAGCCCCTGGTTCCTGCCCCTTCTTGGGGTGTTTCTTGGGGTTCCTCTTCTCCATCTAGGACAAGATTGGGCTTAGTGCCGCAGCTGGAAATACGCTAAATATCGCTGTAGGCGGTGGATACGGGACGGAGCTTTAGCCTCGTGCGTCCAGCTCGGTTGGTGGTCAGGCCACACCCCCAAGATTAAATTTTTTGAAGGACCTGGTTATTTTAACCTTGGGAGAGGATTTAATAGCCTTTATTGTGCGCACAGTGATCACTGAACCTGTTTGGGAGAACATCGGCCTCCTGGATTCTATCAGGAGAAGTGGAGAGAATCCAATCTAGCAGGGTATGGCTTTTAATGTTTATGCGAGTTGGGGAGGAGATTAATTGCGTTAGCTGGAAAGTCTTAAACAGCATGCAAGAACTATTATTTTTAGGATTCAGCCAATCAATATTAAAATCTCCAAAGACCAACAGTTCACTTTTTGGGTTTTGAGCTATGGTTTCACTAAGGAGATGGGCTATGTCAGAAAGGGAATGCACAGGAGAGCTAGGTGGGCAGTAGATTCCTGCAACAATGATTGATTTACTGCACGGGATCTCAATTGTGCCAGAAAGGAAATCAAAGGTGGCAGGAGGAATAAGGTTTTGTAAAGGGGTAAACTTTATGGAATTGTCAATATAAATAACAATGCCTCCTCTTCTCTTTGCTCTGTCATTTCTAAAACATTAATACCCCTGTATTGCAATGGCGGTGTCTGGTATTTTAGTCGTTAACCATGATTCTGAGAGCACAATGATTTTTGGTTTGTAATGGGAACACCAGGCTTGCAGTGCATCCAGTTTAGGGAGTAAACTACGGATGTTGCAGTGCACAAAAGAGAGGCTTTTTTTAGTGGGGAGATTATTACTAGAATTAGCTGGGGGACCAGGGTCAGACTCCACATCATTTGCAAGGGCAAGTAACATAAGGAATAGGAATTTGGACATCATTTTTGTTTGGCCATATAGTGAATGGGATACTTTATAATTTTGTGAGGTGGGGGTAGGAGGGCTATTTTTTAGAACTCTCCACCAGCACTCAGCAGATAAGTTACAGGAACAGAGCATGCCATGGTGTATGATAATTTGTGTTCCAGTTTGAGGTGTGTGCTTGTAGTGGTGTGAACAAAATTGGATTGAGAAAAGGGTTATTAAGAATAACAGTATGGTCATATTTGGATTCATGTTAGTGGTATGAGGTGTGTAGTTGAAAATAAAACAGAAATTGTGAAAAACAAAATTTAAATAATAGTATATAGTATTGGTGTGTGATATATGTATTTGTAGGGAGAGAGGGTATGTGTTCTATAGGGTTAAGAGATTGGAAGGGTGTGCTGATCAGTGTTTGCACCTGTCATTTCAGGAGATTGAAAGTTGTGTGGGAGACTATCTATAAATGAGGAAATAACCATGGGGTGGGAGGGGAATCAGTCTTCCAGAAGGCTACCTGTTTCAAATGGCTATGGAACAGCTGATGGAGCTCTGAGTTCTATGCTGGACTGGGTATGTTTAAAAATCAGACTGTTTCAAATGGCCGTGGAACAGCTGATGGAGCTCTGAGTTCTATGCTCGACTGGGTATGTATAATTATATATGTTGTCACAGTGCCATAGCATCGCCTATAACATATCACACTCATTGCAGCCATGTTGCCTTTTTGGGGACACACACATATACATATGCACACTGATACATGTACGTATATACACACCCGGATGAATACAGACTCTCATGCACACACACTTATATACACAGATATTTCAGACACATTTACTGATGCAACTGCCAGTGAGACATACAGATATTCAGTGACACACATTTTCAGATACACACCAATAGACAATGTATACACACTAACAAAAAATACACTTTCAAACACATATACATGCTGACAGAAACACACTGTCACATACACACACACACAAACACTGTCACACACACTGTCATACACACATACTACACTGTCACAAACACACACACAGTCACACATAGACACACTGTCATACACACATATTTACTCTGGTGGTACAGAGGTCACAGTGTCATAGTACTCTTATTGCAGTGAAAGACTGGCTGATGTCTGCTCAATGTTTTTGCGCCAGTCATCCTCCAGTTACCTTTCTCTCTGTGAGTGAGGGAGGGTGGCTGGCAGACTGCTGATCTCCCCATTTCCCTTTGGATTGCTGGAACTTCCATCAAAACAGAGATCACTGAACACAGTGGGTTATAGTCAGTCTCTCTGTGTTCAGCATTCTGGGAGTTTAGGGCCCCTTAATGGGCCTGAAATGTAATTAATGGGTCTTCTACTGGAACTGGAGTTCAGGCAGGAAATGTTGCAGCATGGTGGGAGGGGCCTCACCTTACCTTTTAAGAGGCTCCTCCATTTCCTGTCCCTTCTTGTGATTCCTGCTGGCTCCTGAAGTAACATGGAAAGGTCTCGTCGCTTCGTAGGCCCCCCAAAGAGTTTCAAAGACTCCATCCATCCTTCTTCTCGATGCTCTGCAATGAAAGAACAAGAACAAGAGATGAGTATTGAGGAGTTTTTTCCAACTTCTATAATTTCCTTTGTGCCTATCTCCACTCCTCCGGTTTCTAAGATTTCTTCCCTATCTGGCCCTTCCATTCCTTCCTGCTACTGTTCAGTTTCACTTTTACCCTCCTGTCCTTCCTTCCCTGTCCCCTGCTTCTTTCCCACCCCCTCCTGTATCCCCTGCTTCTCTCCCCACTTCAGCTGAGGCCTTGCAACACTTGGCTGCTCAGTTGGCCTCCCTCCCCTCCCAGGCTCTCTCTGCCTTGGCTGCATTTGCTCAGGCAGACAAGGACAACTCAGGTCACACTCTGCTTTCCTCAGGGCCCCCTACCATGACCCTTGCAGCTCCAGGGGTACTTCAGGGCACTCTTCCTGCTGCTCCCTCGGCTCCCCCGCTGTCTGTGGCCGCCGGAGTGCTACCCTCAACTCCGGTGGTACCATGTGGCCACTTCGCTGCCACATTTATAGGCGCTGTGATGCGGTCATTACGTCCGGTTACGTGGACGTCACTGCCGGTCGCGCTGTTCCCAGCAACTGAATCACAGAAGGCCCCTCGCGATCTGCAAAACACAAGAAATGTAAGGTGCCAGCTCCAGGGGGGGCCATTAGCCGGCAGATGCCGCAAGTTAAGCAAAAAACTAACCTTTGCTGGGTCCAGGATGCCCCAGGCCTCTACATCCCGGGTTTTGCAGCCTTCTTCTCAAGGGCAGAGGGCTGTGGAGTCCATTCACTCACCTTTACCTTTGGATCTGGGCCTAGGGGTGTCCAGTAATTTTGGGGGCAGCATGGCAGGGCTGGCATTGCCAGTTTGCAGCAACATCTGGAAGGGTACATCTTCTGTTAATTTACCTTCACTTGCTCCATTGTATAGCATCAGTAACATGCACGCTCCCCTTGGGGTAGTAGCGCCAGGAAGCGTTCCCACCGTGTCTACTTTTAACACTGTTAACCCTACATCCACTGCTGATCCTCCTCCTTATCATACCTCTACTTCTGCTGATCCAGCGGCTGCCATGTCCTCGGTGCTCCCATTTTATCTTCTGTTTTACAGGAGGTGCTGCGAAACATGGAACGTCCCTCCACTCGCACGGTATACCACAGTGGGCTGACACAGTTGGCCACGTTTCTCCAGTGATTGGATCGTCTCAGGCAGGTGTTGTTGTTCACGGACACAGGTTTGCAGGTGGCTGCACAACTCGTTGAGTCTTTTCCTTGTACTTTTGCCAATTTCGATGTATCTGTTTCATCTGACGACTCCGGGTCGGAGGATGAAGGCACCTTATGCTTGTCCTCTAAAGGGCAGAAATTGATGCTTTGCATGCACAGGAAATTGTTGATAGCGCAGGGTAAGGGGAGTCACCCGGGCGCGATGGGCGGATCTGTTCAGACCCCGGCACTGCTGAATTCTGCCTTTTTCCTCGCTTGGCCAAGATTTGTTGCTGCGCAGGGCAGCCTTTCAAGGGGATTCATACCCCTGTTCTGTTTACTCTCTGCATGCACACCTAAAGCACATGGTGAAGGCAAAAATTTGGGCGTTTAAATATGTTCACATTTTTGAGCTCTCTTCAGAGGCTTATCGGTTTAAGGAGAGGACTGACGGTGAGTGGGGTACGAAACACCCCAGACGCCCATAATCATTTGACTAGTGGCAGCGCTGCTTTTGGGTGCTGGCTTCCTGTCTCCTGGAAAAGCATCCAGCACAGGCCATATCTGTCATCAAGTACATGGAGACAAAGGATTATATTTATCATCATTTTAGGGAAGGGGTATGATTCAGAGTTCAAGAGGCGCATGGTGAGTAATCCCTCTCTGTCCTTTGGTGTGCAGGATATGCACCTGTGGTCGCACTTGGAGCCAGAGAGGGTCTTGCTTCCCAAGTCTAGCGTTTTTCCCAAGTATTCCAGCACATTTCGCCATGGGGGCCGAAACAGGCGCGAATTATGGAAATTCCTGGATAGACAGTGCGACAAGGGAGCTGCTTGCTCCTTTCATCACATCTGCAGATTCTGTGGTGGTGGCCATCCCAGAGCAGATTGCAAGCAACCTCCTCAGTTGCAGGCCTCCTCTGGTCGCTCATTCTCTTCTCTCAAAGGCTCCAACCTCATTGAAGTTGGACGCAATTGAGAAATGGCTGACTTTTTACCCTCCATGGCAGCAGGCTGTCTGGTCTTCAGTAGGGTTTTGTGATCCCAGTTTCAGATTACTCCCCCGGTAAGGTTCCACCAAGGAATCTGCAATCTGCCTATTCTTTCCCCCAAGAGACAAATTAGCTAAGGAGGACTCCCTGGGTAGGATAGCTGGCCCCTTTGCTATCCCACCTATGGATTTCACCATTGGGGATAGTGTCCAAACGGAGCCCTACAAGTTTAGGCTCATTCAACACTTGTCATACCCTGACAGGGCGTCAGTTAATGACGCCATCGACCCAGCCCTTAGTTCCATCCATTACCAGCTGTTTGATGCCGTCTCGTTGGTACGACTAGAGGGACAGGGGGCGTTGATGGCGAAGCTTGACATTGAGTCGGCTTCGCCTTCTCCCGCTCCACCCTTCATTTCATTGGATGGGTTTTAAGTTTGATGGGGCTGATTACGTGAATAAGTGATTACTGATGGGCTGCTCTGTGTCGTGTGCTTTCTTTGAAACCTTCAGTTCATTTTTGCACTGGGCCTATGCCTCGGCGGCAGGCAGCACATGGTAGTGCGCTACTTAGATGATTTCTTCCTTGTGGGTCCTAGCAGCGTGCCTCATTGCTGCTATTTGATGTCCGTCATGAGGAGTCTCTTGGCTGAGTTTGGTGTTCCCCTGGCAGAGGACAAGTCTGAGGGGCCTACTCAAGTGCTTTCCTTCTTGGGCATTGAAAAAGACAACTCTAATTCAGTGCAGGCTACTACAGCAGGGCCAGATTAAGAGCCCAGAGGGCCTGGGGCTGACAAATATGAGGGGCCTAATTACAGAATCTTATCGACCAAAAACACTAAAACAGTCATATCTCCCAAGAGTCATGTATCTGCGGAAGTGGTGCTGGAGGGAAACTCATAGGATGCAGCTATAAGAGAACACCTACTCTATGCTAATCTCTGTCTAATTTATGCTTTCATCTTTTAAATAAATCCACACCCCCTAACAGCAGTGTCCAGTGAAGCAGGAAGTCAATGGGCGAGGTAAAAGGATGGGCCACTGATGCCAATCACATGACCAGAACTACCAAAAGGGGCGAACATGCCCAAAAAGGGGGCATGTCTGTACAAAGAATTGGAAGGCCAGCCTGGCATCAGTGTCCCTATGTATCACAGTGTCAGTGTCCCCATCTCGCCCAGTCCCCTAGTCCCCCAGTGTCCCCATTTCTCCCAGTGTGTCCTGTGTCACTAGCATATTAAGGGACACAGAGACATGGGGACACTGAGAGACCCGGGGACACTGAAACACTTAGGAATACTGGGAGATATTGGGGAACTGAGACACTTGGGGACACTGGGAGACATAAGGGCACTTCTGGATACAGAAATGGGGAAACTGGGAGACACTGAGACATTTGGGGACACTGTGAGAAATGGGGACACATATACTAGGGACACAGAGACATGGGCACACTGAGACATTTGGGGACACTAGGAACACTGAGAGACATGGGGACACAGACACTTGGAGACTAGGAGACATGGGAGCACTTGTGGACATAGACATGGGGACACTAGGGACACTGAGAGACATGGGGACACTGAGACACTTGGTACACTGGCTGGGAGACATGGGGACACAGAGACATGGGGACACAGACACTGAGAGAATAGGGAACACTGGGAGCCATAGGGACACTGAGACACTAGAGACAATGGCTGGGAGACGTAGGGACACTGGGAGACATGGAGACACTGTGTCTCACAGCATCCCCATGTGTCTGTGTCCCCAGGTCTCCCAGTGTCCCCTAGTGTCTCAGTGTCCCCAGGACTCTCTGCTGCCTTTCCCCCCATCCTTCACTTATCTGAGCTGTAGGCTGTCTCTGCTGGCTGGGAGCAGCTGTCTGGACCTCTGTGCTGTGTAGCTGCTCCCCCATGGATCAGTGAGTATAGAGAGGCAGGGAGGGATATGCTCTAGCTTCCTATCCCTGCTTCTCTCCACACACTGTGACCACTACTAGCTGGTGCTGGTATTGCAGAGTAATCTCATTTTACTGAGGAAAAATATCTGCATTTGTTTTACCGGTAATACTGCAATATTGGCACTGCCAAGCAGCCTCAAATACCGGATGTGCCGGTAAAATACCATGGAATAGGTTTGTCTGTGTTGGAGATATTTCACCATTGCAATTTTACTATTCAATTTATATTATCATCAATTTTAATCTTATTGATAAAGCGCCAATACACGTGTTCCACAAGTTACATTAGAGGTGAACAAACAAACAGGTAAGACAAGAGGAGTGGGATACAATTAGAAAAGGTGAGAATAACATGTATTTCAAACTCAGAAAAAGTTTCAGCAAATTTCAGCAATTAAATAGAAAATATGCAATAGAATAATATAATAATAATATTCTATTGCATATTTTCTATTTAATTGCTGAAATTTTAAATATGGAAAATTTGTTTTTTAAAATTAGAAATTATACCTTAGGATAAACACAAAAAGTAATTTTTTTCAGTTCTCAAATATACTTGAAATGGTTTAATCCACTTGTAAATTAGATTTTATTGTTAGCACTCCAAGCAATCAACTTTTTCTGAGTTTGAAATACATGTTATATATATATATAATGCCAAAATACCAGATTATTGCAGTATGCAATATTACTTTTTTTTAGATATATACAAATATAAGATATATAGATATATAAAAAATCATTTGCTTGTTGGCTTGATACAAACTGGTGCATCACATTGTAAAATTGAAATAATTCTGGTGCAAAGCATTAAAAAGCAATATTTCTAGACAAAGTTGGAGAAATTCTCAGTAATCATGTAACTTGTGTGTGTGTATAGGATGAGCCCATTGGATTTATATAACATGTTTGACTAGTTTAAGGTTTCTGGTAAATGATTTGTACATATTTGTGTTACACCAAGCTGGATTCTCTTAGAAGAGTAATAATTTACTTTGCTTAATAAATATAGTTTTTTTTTTTTCCTAGTAGACTTCAATGGAACAGTTGCCATTCAGAGGTATTGTTTAAGTGTTAGATAAAAAATATCTGCTTTTGTTTTACCGGTAATACTGCAATATCAGCATGGACAGGCAGCCTCAAATACCAGATGTGCCGGTAAAATACAAGTCAGGTGGCAAACCTAAGAGTAGTGTGTAAAAACAAAATGGGCCTATTCCATGGGCCTGGTGCTGCAGCTCCATTAGCCCCTATGTTAATCCGGCCCTGTACAAGGTTGAGAGGGCACTGCTTTTGGTTCGTATGGCTGTGGCAACGCAGGTTTTGTCCCTGACGGATATGCAATATCTTTTGGGCCTCCTCAACGTCTCCTGCAGGGTCATCCCCCTGCGTCGGGTTTTCAATAGGCATCTGGAGATGGACCTTCACGGCAGTCCTAAGGGCAAAGCTAATCTCTCCATGTCTAAGGACATGTTGGATGATCTTTGCGTCTGTGGGTGTTTTTTGCAGGACTTCAACGGAGTCCGTTTTTGGCAGTTGGGTCCTTCATCCAACCAGTCTCTCTATTTGTTTATGGACGCTTCAGGTTCTTGTGCTTATGGAGCTTATTTTCAGGGGTCTTGGAGTGCCGCCCCCCTGGCCGCCTTAATGGCATGCTAGGGGTCTTACGAGAAACCTAACTCTGCTAGAACGTTTCCCCATACTGGTGGCAGTGGAGTTGTGGTGCTCGCACTTCTGCGACCAGTCTGTTGTTTTTTGGACTGACAACCAGTCGGTGGTTCACGCCATCAATCAGTTGTCGGCCTCTTCTCGTCTGATGGTTAGGTTGCTCTGTTTGCTAGTTCTCCTTTGCCAACATTTGCTTTGCAGCACGTCATGTTCCTGGGGTCAATAATACACTGGCGGATGCTTTGTCATGTTTTCAGTGGCATCTTTTTGATCCCTTGCTCCATCAACGGCAGTGCAGGGCACGGATTGTCCTTTTTCTCTCTGGCAGATGATAGACAATGGAAGCTCCTTTTCCCCTTCGTAAGAGCTTCGCTTGCCCCTCAAACTTGGAGGTTGTATATCCACTGCTGGGGCGAATGGGTCAGTTTCTCTATGGGGATCGGGGTTCGTGACGTGGAGGCTTCCCAGGGGGTGGTTTCTAGTTGCTTTCCTGTGGTCTTTCTAGAGCTATGGTAGGGACCAGGCTCGCTGCCCTTTCCTTCTTTTTGAAATTTGCAGGTAAGCCAGATTCATCAAGGTTTTTTTATGATTATGCAGGTTCTCAAAGGTTGTAGTAGGTCAGAGTTTTGTCCCCCGGACACTCGGGAACCCATAACCCCTGCTACTGTGAGATCGCTCCTGCTTGCTTTACCGTTAGTTTGTTCTTCTGCGTTTGAGGTCTCTTTTTCAGGCAGCATTTTCCATGGCTTTTCATGGTGCGCTTCGAGTGGGGGAGCTGGTAGCTCTGTCATCCAAGGGATCCAAGCTGCTCATGTCTCCCTTTCCCATCAGGCAGTTTTGCTTTTCATTCCCTGTTCCAAGTCCGAACAAGAAGGGCGAGGTACATGGGTGTCCATGCCTGCCTCGTAAAATTAAAATATATTGGAGCGCTAAATAACACTTGGGTCTTAAATGGGGAAAAAGAACCTAGTGTCTATCTTATAAAAACAATAATCAAATGAAGAACTATGATAATTTTTTTTTTGTCCCGCAACAAATTGAACATTAAATATATTTAGACACATTTTACAAAACAGAGGTTAGGCATAAATGTGAGAACGAGGATGTGCCATTGAGGTCATGGACCAGCACCGGTACATTATCAGGAGTGTGTGAACTGCTCCGGGAGAACGGCTGTGTAGTATGTGTGGATTTAAGGCAACATGTACGGGTTGTAGATTTGGAGCCTTCTTCTAAGCGTACCCTAAGCCTGACAAGGCCCGGGGGGGGCGGGGGGGGGTCTGGGGATGGAGCAGCAGATCCTTCCTTTTGAGAAGGGAACAGGTGGTCTGGGTATGTCTCAGGGCTAGCTAGTTAGGGGCATCTCGCCTGGGGGTGAACAGTGTATGTCCTGGTTATTGTAGCCTCTTTGGCTCTCGGGTGAGTCAGGTATCTGACGCAGGTCTTTGGGTGGTATCCTGCACGGGTGTGGGAAGGCCCAGTGCCTTACTGAATGCCAGGAATCCCGCTAGTGTGGAGAGTTTATGGACCGTTCCTTTGTGCGTAACCACCAGGAACCTGGGAGATCTCCAGTGATACTCTAATCCTGCTTCTCTGAGGGCGCTGGTGACTGGGTTCAGCGATCTTCGCCATTGCAGTGTGGATCTGGTGAGGTCTTGATAAACGGTGAGTTGTGCGCCTTCAAGTGTTAAAGGCGTCTTGCCCGGGAGTGCCGTCATCAGGCTTGTCTTGGGAGGTGGCGCAGCGGACAATCACATCATGGAACATGTTTGGGGCTGCTCTGCCTGAGGATGGTAGGCAGTATATCCCGTCTGTGTTAAATTTTTGGGCATGTGTTGGTGGCAGGACGGCAGCGACAAGGCGCCTCATGTAATGAGGCAGTTCGTCAGGTGTGACTGCGTCTGGCACTCCCCTGATCTTAAGATGGTTGCGCCTCGTTCTGTCATCGAGGGCGGTGTAGTGGACAGAGAGGGCCTGTTGTTGGACCTGTAGGGCCAGGACAGAGTCCTGTAGGGTTGTCAGTCCCTGCTTAATGCCAGAGATGTCTCCCTCTGCGGTTTGCACCCTATCTGTGATAGTCTGCACGTCAGTTTTAATGGTTGCTATGCTGGTTGCCAGGAGGTTTTTAATTTCCCCTACCAGATTTTGAAAGTCCCGCTGGGTGACCGGGGCAGACCCATCTGGGGTCTCTTAAGGTGTCTGAGCCCTTTCTGGGGGTAGGTCGGGCGGCATGGGGTCTATTTGTACCTGTGTGGCAGCATGTTTCTCTCTTCCCGTCATTTTGGGCGGCGGTCGTCGGTGTTGTAGCATGGCACCTATGTCCCTGGACCCTGATGGTGTCTCCGGAGGTTTTTGGGACCGGCGGCCCATCGTTTCTTGGGCAGGTAGAAGTGCTGTGTGGAGGTCTTCCACCTCCGGGTCTTCAGGCTGTGTAAGTCTGCCCAGGAAAGCCGACCAGTCACAGGCTGCTGTGGGCTTGTAGGCCTCGGGTCTCCGCCACCATCCTGTGCCGGGTATACAAACAGCATGTGTGGCTGCTGGGTCGTGCACAGAGGTTGTCCGGTCCGGGGTGAGTTAATTGAGGGTTTTAAGCCTCTGTTATCAGACTTTGTTGCGGTTTTGGCCGGGAGCTCTGCTGAGATGCCTCCGCTTCGGCTCGTGGTCAGGCTCCACCCCCTTTTGTCCTCCCCCCCCGGCTCACACCCCTGAGCGGTGGGTGGGGGCCCTAAATTAGAATAAGGGGGGGACCTATTGTCCTCCCCCCGGCCACCACCCATAAGCGGCGGGTTGGGCCCTAAATAACAAAAAGGGCGGGAAACCTATTGTCCTCCACCCTGGCACCCACCCCTGAGGGGTGGTTGGGGGCCCTAAATTCGAATAAAGGGGGGGACCTATTGTTCCCCACCCCTGAGCGGCAGTTGGGGGCCCTAAATAAAAATATGTTACTGCCAACTATCAACTTTGTAAACTTACCCAGAGGAATCCCATTCAGTATTCGG